TGAGAGACTGACAAACTGTCACAGAAATACGGTGTTGTCTAGGGATCCTAACATCTACCCTAGGGCATCAACTTTAGAAATTTAGGAATGAATTGAATATACAGTTTTGGAAGGTGGAGAAATAGCCAAATAACTTTTGCTTCTGACATATTCTGCTGCTTTCAGGATCCTTGGGTAAGTGAGGGGTTATCTGTTGTCTGCGCTGTGTACTATGGGGTTTCTGTACCCAGAAGTGACCTGTTAGGCAGATTTCTCAAAAATATTTAATGTTTCAACATAGTAGTATTTTGAGGGTTACTAGAGTAACAAGTTAAACATTTGAAGTTAGTCTTTGTTTTAGTTACATTGTGTTACATAGGAAACTTTTAGGTAATCTTTTATTTTTGTTCATTAAATTTGAATATATGGTAAATGCAACCTATTGTTTCTGGCTTTTTAGAATAGAGACCCAAGAAAACAAATGGTAATATTTTCCGTTTCTCATCACAAAATCTTCCCAGGTTACAAGAAACACAAATACTGACATGTATGTCATATTTAATGTAAATAATGTTCTGCTTTTAGCCAGTTACTATTACTGAAGTGTTGCCTCCGAATAATTTACACACTAGCCAGGGTGCACTTGTGCAAGTGTGTGTGTGTGTGTGTGTGTGTGTGTGTGCGTGTTCTTATTTTTTTATGTTGGTATTTATTTCCCATTGTAAGATCTTAGAAGCAGTGATTGTTTACTTCCTGGACATGTGTGGGTTGCCCTGTATGTAAGAACTCAGACTAAATGTTGTTGCAGTGACTACTCAGTGACTTAGATGACAGCAATTCAGTGATCCTTTTGGGTTTTGTTTTTGTTTTCCAGAGTTTCCATGATGGAAGTCAAAGCAAAACAAAAATTCACAGGGAAAGGTACAAAGACGTCACAAGAAAAAAACAGATTTTATAAGAACAATGGTAAGATAGCCTTACCAAAATATGCTTCTAGTGTGCTTATTTATTTGGCCTTTATAATTGGAGGGAGGGGCATCAGCTAGTGATACTGTTGCCTCATGCTAGCTACACCAATTCACCACATTTTATTTTAATGTTTGATAAATTGTGGTTGATTAGTATGTAATACTGGTAAACCCTATACTTTTATCTTCAAGATTTCTAATTGTGATGTCTTCATATTCCATCAGGTGTCAGTATTGCAAAATAGAAAAGTCAGTCTGTGTAAATGATTAAATGTTTCCTAAGCAATCTTTCCTTGTTTTTTCTTACAGCAGTCTTAGCTATTGCAGTTTTCATTTCATTTGTTTGGTATTTAATTTGCACTTTGTTGACCAAAGATTTTTTTTGGTCAAATAACTTTATTATAGAGTTTGAAAATTATTTTTGAAAATTAGAATTTTTGAAAAATTAACATCTTTAATTTGCCTATATGGTATACCTCTTAAATTTCAAGTGTTTATTCTATTTTTAGATTCCTAAGATGTTATTGAACTTTTGGAAGTTATATGTAAAGACCAATGATGTGGAGTCATTAAATTAGAATACAAAGGTGTATAAATAATTCCTCACTTCTATGCTTAAAATAGAGAAATATACCAAACTAGTTATTTCTAGAATTATGTATAGTTTTTATTATGCATGCCTCTACTTTATAGGTTTTCTGTAATGAAGCTATAATATTACAGTTTTGTAATCAGAGGAAGTTTTTAAATTTTGGTTTGGTATTTTAAATCTTTTGCTCCATATTTGAGAGTAGGACAAAGTATTTTCACTAAAGAGGGTATAATTTTCTGTAACAAATACAACCCAGTGGATACAAGAGATCTAGGCTCAGGATTATTGAACTAATGATCATTTTGTATCCTCACTAGATTCTGGTTCTTCAAAGACATTCCCAAGAAAAGTTGTTAAGGAAGGTGGACCTAAAATCACATCTAAGAACTTTCAGAAAAGTGCCACAAAACCAGGGAAAAAAGGTGTGAAACAATTCAGGAATAAACAACAAGGGGATAAAATACCAAAGAACAAATTCCAGCAGGCAAATAAATTCAACAAGAAGAGAAAATTCCAGCCGGACAGTAAAAGTGATGGTAAGCACTGGTTCCTTCGGCATGGTTTTTGTGGAAGGCTTGCCCTACCTGTGCTATTGCCAGGACCACTGTGCACAGGGACTCTAGAAATCTATTAGTGGCCTCCCATTGTTCCTTGACAGGCAGCATTTGGGGTGGGGGTGAAAAGTAGATGGGATTGCCCTAGCCGGTTTGGCTCAGTGGATAGAGCGTTGGCCTGCGGACTGAAGGATCCCGGGTTTGATTCCAGTCAAGGGCACATACCTGGGTTGTGTTCTCAATCCCCAGTGGGGCGGCATGCCGGAGGCAGCCGATCAATGATTCTCTCTCATCATTGATGCTTTTATCTCTTCTTCTCCCTTTCTGAAATCAATAAAAAGATATTTAAAAATAGATATATATATCTGCATTGGCTAGGGATGCCTTGGTGATCAAGAGACATATAGACCGTCCTTTCACAGAGCTTAGGTCAACCCATTAGATGGCTCAGGTCCAGCAGGCAGTTCCAAGGAGGGTGTAGAGTACACCTGGCATATTTGACTTTCATTGGTTCGGGACAAGTTGCTCACTGATGGGATGTACTGGCAGGGCTCCCATGTGTCTGTTGAAACACACTGCTCATCTCTTCATCAGGCTGTTCCAGGGGTCATTTCTAAACCAGAGCCTTGCCACCTCTTGTACAGTGTGCCCCTCTTGTGTATTATCTTGCATTGTTCTCCACTTTACAGGTGCTATTATACGTACACCTTCTCTGCAGCATCATGGGACGTTCTCTGGTGTCTTTCATTCTCTTTTTCTCCAAAATGGCATCTCATAACACTGCTCCTCTGCTGCCAAATGAGACCACTGCCATACAGCCTTCTCACTTGTTCCCTAACCCAGGTCCCTGCTCTCAGCTCTGCCTGGACTGTTCACTGGAGGGACAGCAGCCTTTACACAGGGAGGTTGGGAGAGGGGAAGGAAGGAACAGTTTTCATTGTTTCTCTTAGGTCTGCAGGGTTCTTGCATGCTCCAGCTTCAATGTTTTCTCTTGATCCTTTTTCCTTCCTCTTCCCTCCATCACACACCCACACCCCATAGTTTCTCTTTCCTGCTTCCTCTAATAGCTCC